AGCCACACCTCCAGCCCAAAGCGATTCCTTCCCACTCACAAGTAATTCTTTCCTACATAATTTGACTTAGTGTGCACAATCTCAAAATAACTTTTTATCCCCCCACCACCAAGTCCTACACATTCATTTCTTCTGCCTCTCTTTTCTGACACATCTTTCTTCTTGTTTCCTAAGGCTGTTCTTCAGTCAGGCCCTACCCTTGCATTAATACATTCAGCAAATGGCGTTGGAAATCCCCTTACAAAGTCATTGCTTTAATTATGCCATTTTATTATGATCACTAATTACCAAACTCAAATTCCACACTTGAGGCTACAATGAGTAGAACAGAGCAGCACATTACCATCAACTGGACATTTATGGACGTGTATGTTCTTTTCAGGCATCACTTCACCTAGCCTCCTCCAAATCTTTTTTTTTTTTTTTTGGGTCCGGTCATGGGGCCTGAACTCTGGGCCTGGGCGCTGTCCCTCAGCTCTTCAGCTCAAGGCTAGCGCTCCACCACTTGAGCCACAGCACCGCTTCCTGCTTTTTTCTTTTTGCTTATGTGGTGCTGAGGAATCGAACCCAGGGCCTCAGGCATGCAAGGCAAGCGCTCTACCACTGAGCCACCTTCCCAGCCCCCCCAAATCTTGCAATGGCATGTTGTATTGTCCCCAATGTGTAGCCAAGGGAACAATTGAAAAAAATTGGTAATCTGCCTAAGATTATCTAGCTAGATCTACCTGAGAGAGCTAGGAAATAAGTTCCATTTGTCTAATTGCAAAGCATATGCTTTTACCTAGCAAGCCACACTGTTTCCTAAATGGAGGTAACACCATCCAGCTCCAGTAATGTGAGGATTCACTAAAAGCATCTATGTAAAAACCACCTGCCAAAGCTACATCTAGTGGCCTCCTTTGCATTCTTTAGGCTTCAGCCTTACATCGCCTCTACAGAGAGGACTTTCTTACTTATCCTAGCCCCAATATAGCAGCCTGTCACATGAGCCCATATTCTTTGTCTATCTTTTTGGTGGTGCTTGGGATTGGACACAAGGCTTTACACACTGTAGGCAAGTGCTCTACCAATGAGCTATACCTGTAGCCACTTGTATTGTCTCCTTATCCCATTTTAATTTCACTGTACCACTCACCACTGTCTGAAACTTATTTAGACATTTGTTTATGTGGGTTTTTTTTTTGCCAATCTTGCTTTACTAGTATGTGAATTACACAGGGGAGGAACTGTGTCTACCTTTTGCATTGCCTTGGCTTAATATGTAAGTGTTCAGTAAGTATTTTTTTGTTTAAAAATTTTTTAATTATAATGGTGATATACAAAGCTAGGTGCCAGGGGCTGGGAAGGTGGCTCAGTGGTAGAGCGCTTGCCTTGCATGCATGAGGCCCTGGGTTCGATTCCTCAGCACCACATAAGAAAAAAAAAAAAAGAAAAGAAAAAACAAAGCTAGGTGCCAGTGGCTCACATCTGTAATCCTAGTGACTCAGGAGGCTGAGATTTGAAACTTGCAGTTTGAAGCCAGCCCGGCCAGGAAAGTCCATGAAACTTTTATCTCCAATTAATCATCAGAAAACTGGAAATGACACTGTGGCTCAAAGTGGCAAAGTGCTAGACTTGGGTGAAAAAAAGTTCAGGAACAGCACCCAGGTCCTGAGTTCAAGCCCCATGACAAAAAATAAAATTAAATAAAGTAAGTACAGAGAGGCTAATGTTATGTAAGTCAGGTAAAGAGTGCATTTTTTTGGGGGGGGGGGGTCCAGTCATGAGGCCTGGACTCTGGGCCTGGTTGCTATCCCTCAGCTCTTCAGCTCAAGGCGAGCGCTCTACCACTTGAGCCACAGCGCCACTTCTTGCTTTTTCTGCTTATGTGGTGCTGAGGAATTGAATCCAGGGCCTCATGCATGCAAGGCAAGCACTCTACCACTGAGCCACCTTCCCAGCCCCAAGAGTGCATTTCTTTTTGGACAATGTCACCCCTTCCCTCACTCTCTCCCAGTTCACTTTTTTTTTTTTGAGCAGAAATTAGTATACAGTTCAGTTATAGAGGAAATAGTTCTCATTACTTTTTCCTTCTGTGAATAACAAAAGAAAAATAATTCAACACTCATGCATTATAAAAATAAAGGACAAGCTAGGTACTAGTGGCTTACTTCTGTAATCTTAGCTACTCAGGAGGCTGAGGTTTGAGGATCTTAGTTGGACGTCATTTGGGATAGACAAAACCAAAAGATTTATCTCAAATTAACCAGCAAAATGCCAAGAGTGGAGTTATAGCTTAAGTGGTAAAGCACTAGCCTTGAGTGTAAAAGCCAAGAGAGAGCCAGGTGCCAGTGGCTCACACCTGTAATCCTAGCTACTCAGGAGGCTGAGATGTGAGGATCGAAGTTCAAAGCCAGCTAGGCAGGAAAGTCCATGAGACTCTTATAGCCAATAAATCACTAGAAAACTGGAAGTGGTGTTGTGGCTCAAGTGGAAGAGTGCTCGACTTGAGCTGAAGAGCACAGGGACAGTGCCCAAGCCCAGAGTTCAAGCCCCACAACCAACCAAAAAAAAAAGCCAAACCGTGCACCAGTGGCTCACACCTATAATCCTAGCTACTCAGGAGGCTGAAATCTGAGGATTGTGGTTCAAAGCTAGCCTGGGCAGGAGAGTCCGTGAAACTCTTATCTCCAATAAACCACCAGAAAACTAGTAGCTCAAGTGGTAGAGTGCTAGCCTTGAGCTAAAGAGCTGAGGGACAGCACTCAGGGCCAGAATTCAAGGCCCACGACTGACAAAAAAAAAAAAAAAAAAAGCCGGGGCTGAGAAGGTGGCTCAGTGGTAGAGCGCTTGCTTTGCATGAATGAGGCTCTGGGATCGATTCCTCAGCACCACATAAGCAAAAAGAAAAAAGCTGGAAGTGGCACTGTGGCTCCAGTAGTAAAGCACTAGCCTTGAGCTAAAGAGCTGAGGGACAGCACCCAGGCCCAGAGTTCAGGCCCCACGACCGGACCCAAAAAAAAGAAAAAAGAAAAAGAAAACAAGCCAAGAGAGAATAGGAGGCCCTGAATTCAAGCTCCAGTACCAGCACAAAATAAAAAAATTAAAATTTGCGTAACACTACCACAAAGCATATATATACTAATATCATAGGCAAGAAAAGTGAAAGCTCAGAGATGTTCAATGACTTATCCAAGTTAGAAAATGGGGGAGGGCTGGGAAGGTGGCTCAGTGGTAGAGCGCTTGCCTTGAGCTGAAGAGCTGAGGGACAGCGTCCAGGCCCAGAGTTAGGCCCCACGACTGGACCCAAAAAAAAAAAAAAAGAAAATGGGGGAACCAGGACCAAAACTTTAGATTGACTCAAAGTCTGTTGCCTTAATAATTATGCTAGACTAAAATTTACAAATTGCTGGTGAATTTGGTGGGTATAAGCAATCAGATCAAAGAAATATATTTTTTTTATTTTATTTTTTTGGGGGGGTCTAGTCATGGGGTGTGAACTCTGGGCCTGGGCACTGTCCCTCAGCTCTTCAGCTCAAGGCAAGTGCTCTATCACTTGAGCCACAGCACTACTTCCAGCTTTTTTCTTTTTGCTTATGTGGTGCTGAGGAATCAAACCCAGGGCCTCAGGCATGCAAGGCAAGGGCTCTACCACTGAGCCACCTTCTCAGCCCAAGAAATATTTTTTAAGAGAGAGAGAGAGAGAGAGAGAGAGAGAGTATGTGTGTGTGTGTGTGTGTGTCAAAACTAGGGCTTGAACTCTGGGCCTGGATGCTGTCCTTGAGTTTTTTGCTCAAGGCTAGAGTTCTACTACTTGAATCATAGCTCTATTCCCAGCTTTTTGGTGGGTAACTGGAGATAAGAGTCTCATTGAGGGCTGAGAATGTGGCTTAGTGGTAGAGTGCTTGCCTAGCATGCATGATGTCCTGGGTTTGATTCCTCAGTACCACATAAACAGAAAAAGCCAGAAGTGGTGCTATGGCTCATGTCATAGAGTGCTAGCCTTGAGAAAAAGAAGCTCAGGGACAGTGCCAAGACCCTGAGCTCAAACCTCAGGACTGGCAAAAAATAAATAAATAAACAAATAAATGAATAATGAATAAGTAAAATAAAACAAGCACTGCATTCCCCCCTCCCCCGCCCTGCCCGCAGTTGGCTCACACCTATAATCCTAGCTACTCAGGAGGCTGAGATCTGAGGATTGTGGTTCAAAGCCAGCCCGAGCAGGAAAAGTCTGTGAGATTCTTAGCTCCAATAAACCACTCAGAAAAACAGAAGTGGTGCTGTGGCTCAAGTGGTAGAGTGCTTGCCTTGAGCTGAAGAGTTGAGGGATAGTGCCCCGGCCCGAGTTCAAGCCCCACGACCAAAAACAAAACAAAACAAAAAAGAGTCTCATTGACTTTCTTATCTGGGCTGGCTTTGAACTATGATTCTCAGATTTCAGCATCCTGAGTAGCTAGGATTATAATTACAGACATGAGTCACTGGCACTCAGCTGTTACTGTGTTTTTGTGTTTGGGTTTTTTCTTTTTTTTTTTGGTGTGTGCGTTTGTTTTGGGTGTTATGATTGAACTCAAGACCCTATGCATACTAAGCATTGTGCTGTACTACTGAACTACACTCTACCCCTCAACAATTTTGTGTTTTAATAAAGTATTTGGGGATATCCTTAGATTGGTACTCTCTTCTAAAAAGAACTGCCCCAGGGCTGGGAATGTGGCTTAGTGGTAGAGTGCTTGCCTAGTATGCAAGAAGCTTTAGGTTTTATTTCTCAGTACTACATAAACAGAAAAAGCTGGAACTGGTGCTGTGGCTCAAGTGGCAGAGTGCTAGCCTTGAGCAAAAGAAGCTTAGGGGCAGAGTCCAGGCCCTGAGTTCAAGCCCCAAGACTGGCAAAAAAAAAGAACTTCTCCAGAAATCCTGGCCTTATCAGAAGTAAGTGACTCAGAAGCCTGTGAGGAAAGAAGGCCACTTTGGTGTTTATCACCATCTCTGGTTTGGAAGGAACAAAGGTGACCTACCTGGGCAGCCTCATAAGTGATGGTCTTGGTCTCAGTGTGGACAATGGGGACGTCTTTGGTTGGGATTTCACTTTTTGCAGCATTGGCCGTATCTGAGATGGTGACTGTCTGAGTCTTTACCAGAGGAGGCTGTGAAACAGTAAAGAAACAGAGTTAGCAGAAGTTTCTGAAGGCCAGGAGAGCTGAACTGTCTAACATTGATCTGATCAAAGTATCTGCTGGAATAAAGCAAAGGGCAAGTTCAATCTCCAAAGGTGTTTCGTCTGCTCAAGACTTGGACACCATTCCAAAGTAGTTCTGACAAGGTGTCACAACACGAAGGGCATTAAAAAGCAGCATTACTGTAATCACTTTCATAAGCCTAATGGAAAATTGTAAGATCAGACCGTTATGACTGGTGATATAAAACACTTCAGACTGACCTTCAAAAAGAATATAAAACTATTTGCCAAATAGCAATCACTTTCATTTGTCCTTGCGACTGTGCCATTATAATTAAGCAAGTCAGCCACATTTCCTCCACTACGGACAAATGGTACAGGAAAACGCAGAGGCCCAGGAAAACATTATCCTGGAATTCATTAACTTCTTTCAAATCAATGTCAGACATTCACATTGGATTTACTGAGAAGAAACAGCCTTTGGGAAACTGGAGAGAAAACTCAGTTCTACCACCACCTGGTGATTATTAATCTCAGAATTTCAGAAGAATAAATGTTATTGTCCATCTGCTCAACTTCCCCAAGACTATAAATCACCCTAAAGGTACCATTTGATTGTGATCAGGTTCATCCACCTCAGCACAGGAAGAGAGCCTGCGATCAGGGAAGGCTCTGTTTATGTGGTCAGTGGTAGTGGTGGCCTGAACAGTGTGGCTGCATTACATACATTATTATTTGGGGCCTGAAATCTCATTTTAGAAAATATAATTTGGAATTTTTTTCTAGCATGGTCTGAAAACACTGAAGGCTCCTTGCTGTGGAAACCTCTATAATTCATCTCTTCCCACAGCTCATACTTGAGTAAGGAAAAGTGGAACTTATTGATGCCAACTTCATAGCTAGCGTTTACTCCCAAGAATTCTGGAAGGCTGTCAGTGGGAAACATTTGTAGCTATGGAGGTAATTCCTTTGAATGAACCTCTGTTTTTCCTTATTGACACAATCACAGACTTTACTCTGACTCTCTGATTTTGAAAAACAAACTGGCCACCACTACCACCACCGCTACCACCACCACCACTACCACCACCATCACCTCCTCCTCCACAGAAGATTGTAGCCCTCTCCCATAGAGTCATGAGAGCTGCATCATCAAATCAGGTACTACCTGGAAACTTCGAATGAGGGTGGGGAACTGGTTACCCACACAAGAGTCAAGAAATGATCCATTTTGTTTTCCAAGTGGCTCTCCTGGTGTAACATGCTCTTCACTACTGTCTGCCTTGTTTTCACCAAGCTGCAGCTGACAGGAGGCTGAGAATTGTAAGGCACTGGCCTGTTCCTCCACTCCTATGCATTCCCCACTTGGGCCACTTGGCGTCTCCTTAATATCAAGATGGCCAGCTGCCCCCTGCTCCTTCTCTTCTGTCTCCTTGCTGCTTATGGAGAGGGAGCCAAAGCCAAAGCTCTGCGGAGACTCCGATGGGGTGGTCATCTGGCTCTGACTAGGACCTACTGACTGCTTGGGACCCTCCCATTCAGAGGCAGGGTAGGCAGATGGCCCTTTTGTCACGACAGCCACCTCCTCTGTGCGAATGCCATTTACACTCTACAAACGAATGGACATACACAAAAGCAAGAAGATTAGGAATAAGAAGGGAACATTAGAGTGAACGATGAGAATCAACAATGATTTATCCACAGCCTCAAAATATTAAGACAAATATAAACCATGAATGCTAACACCAAAGGCAGCAAAAGGAAAAACTGCTAATCATCATACACATCAGCAGCTTAAGCAGTCTGAGCTTCATTCTGGCCATATTTCAATAACACTGTTAACCTGGGAAAGAATTTCAACATGCCTCACACAGTATTCAGCACTTTGTATTCCACGTTCATCCCTGCATAACTTCATACTTAAAAGAGTTACATTATCATTCTTACAGAACTCATTACTATGCACAGGACACAAGGTAATTTATGAGTCAATCAAAACAAGTTCTTGATGAACCTGGTTGGGTTGGAAAAATATCACGTATCTCATATCCCTATGTATGATCAGACTGACCTCCAACAGAGAAACTAAAGCCTATACTCTGGTTGTCATGGGATCAGATTTGAGTCCATCCTGTACAGATTTACTCTATCATGGTCATGGCATCACACATGTATCAAAAATAGGAACTATTAAGCCAGGTGCCAGTGGGTCATGACTACAATCCTAGCTACTCAGGAGGCTGAGGTCTGAGGATCATGGTTTGAAGCCAGTCCAGGCAGCAAAGTCCCCATGAGACTCTTATCTCCAATTAACCACTCAAAAACTGGAAGTGGCACTGTGGCTCAAGCAGTAGAGTGCTAGCCTTGAGCACAAAGAGGTTCTAGGACAGTGCCCAGTCCCTGAATTCAAGCCCCACAACCAGCAACAACAAAAAAAAAGGAACTGTTTCTTTACAGATCAATGACATCATACCTGTAATTTCTGTTTCAGTTCATTCCTGAGTTTAATGCCTCTAATCACAGGAAAAACAGCTTTGTTTTAGGTCTTTAGCTTAAACTAAATCATTTCTTTAAAAAAAAAAAAAAGTAATTTTGAGGCATTTCATTAGAAGAAAATTGGCATTTATATACACAAACTAATAGTAACTAAAATTTCATCACACATTTACTTGATCTTTAACTTCACTAATTTTGGCTGCTATGGAAGGAGACGCTCTTCTCTCTGGGTGATTTAGAACATAAGTCATTGATGAACATCTTGCATTTTTCTTTTATTAGCAGTAGGGTTTATAACTTATATTAACCCAGTTTCCTGTTCTATCATTGGCTGTGGTAGAACTCAAAAAGTTTGCTTTCCTTGGATCTCCATGTGCTTCGTGGTTGGTAAAACAAATTGGCCTGCAAACCCTGCAGCCACAGTCGTCAGTCCAACTGTAACCTATATGGCCATGGCTGAGGCTCAGCTCCTGTCTCCACTGGAATGTGGTTCATCCAGCCCAGGAGCCACAGAGCCCAGTATACAAGTTTACCAGAAAGCAACGCAGCCAGCAAGAAAAACCTCCATTGTCAGAAAAAGAGTTCACCCTCCCCCCAATACTGGGATTTGAACTTAAGACCTTGAGCTTGCTAGGAAGGTGCTCTATAAAAAAAAAAGTTTAAAAGTTAAGTGTTTTAAAGAAAACATGGGTCAGAAGATATCATTACAATAGATAGTAGGTGGATCCACTGCTAAAATTCAAATAAAATCTCTATGTGGAATAAAAGAAGAGGGAATTCCCATCTGTAGAAAAGGGATACAACCTGTCTGAAAAAAAGAACCATGTAGCTGAAGCTAAGTGTTGTGGCATGTAACATTACCATGTGCTCACCAGAAAGTTGTGAAGGAGCCAAAGAGGCCTCAAATTTTGGTAAGATCATTTGGCCATATTAATACCAAATAGGAACTTAATATTAGAAAAGAGACCTTTATAGGTTTTCTTGGAGTAAGTAACAGATTGGGTCAGCTAGTACATTTTAATCATATTATATGTATTATACATATTTTTTGTTTTGGGTCCAGTCGTGGGGCCTGAACTCTGGGCCTGGGTGCTGTCCCTCAGCACTTCAGCTCAAGGCTAGCGCTCTACCACTTGAGCCACAGAACCACTTCCAGCTTTTTTTTCTTTTCTTTTTGCTTATGTGGTGCTGAGGAGTGGAACTCAGGGCCTCAGGCATGCAAGGCAAGTGCTCTACTACTGAGCCACCTTCCCAGCCCGCATTATACATATTTTTTAAAGCACTACTCTTTAGTCTGTAAACTAGCCTACGATGTACAATTTTTTTTTAACCAATACTCTATTAAGGCAAGAAACAGCATCCCGCACTCAAGGATTTTAGATCAGCTTCACTCCTGAGCCATCTTCAGACATGCAACTCATGAGCATTTCAAACTGATCAGGCAAATCAAAAGATCTAGTGGAAAAAAAAAAAAAGATCTAGGGGCTGGGAAGGTGGCTCAGTGGTAGAGTGCTTGCCTTACATGCATGAGGCCCTGGGTTCCATTCCTAAGCACCACATAAGCAGAAAAAGCTGGAAGTGGTGCTGTGGCACAAGTGGTAGAGCACTAGCCTTGAGCTGAAGAGCTGAGGGACAGTGCCCAGGCCCAGAGTTCAGACAACCATGACTGGCAAAAAAAAAAAAAGATCTAGTGAAAATAGCTGATTATGAACACTATTCAGGCCATGAAGGATGATAACAGAGGTTGATAACAGAGCTGTTTGGTCTACAGATCAGACATACAGAAAATATACCTCTTGCCAATAGTATATGAAATCCTCACCTTTAAAATGAGAATATAACTCGGTTTGACTTGTAAAGTTCTAGGGATCAAATATGATACACATATGAAAACATTTTGTAAGTTCTAAAGAATGATGCCACTTCGGCCGGGTGCTGGTTGCTCACGCCTGTAATCCTAGCTACTCAGGAGGCTGAGATCTGAGAATCGCGGTTCAAAGCCAGCCCGGGCAGGAAAGACCGTGAGACTCCTATCTCCAATAAACCACTAGAAAACCGGAAGTGGCGGTGTAGTTCAAGTGGTAGAGCGCTCGCCTTGAGCTGAAAAGCTGAGGGACAGCGCCCAGGCCCAGAGTTCAAGCCCCATGACCGACAAAAAAAAAAAGAATGATGCCACTTCATTTAACTCAACTACACAATTAACAAAGAACTTAAATGTGTGTGTGTGTGTGTGTGTGTGTGTGTGTGTGTGTTCAAACTCCCTATGTGTTCATGCCCTAAGACCGGGTGCACAGGAATTAACTTGTTGCTGTTCTTAGCATGCTGACTATTTTCTAGGGTACTGATTTCACAATTTCTTTTTTGAATCAGATAAACTGCTATAGAGCTGTCCAAAAATAGACCAGCTGACCATGCACAGGGTTCATCAAATTGCTGTTTGCCAGTCTTAGTTGTCAATACTGTACCATTCTCATGGAGAGGAGCTTCAAGCATTCTCCAAATAATTTTGCCAATACTGAGAAGATTGACTAGTAATGAAAAAAAAGCCTAAAGCAATCAAGAACAAAATTTGTACCATTCTGCTGAAATGATTTCTTAAGTGATAATCTGTTATCAAAAAGCTATTCATGAATTCAACATTGCTTAGGCTAGCACTATGTGGACCCAACGTTGATACTGCTACAGAAAATTAGATCTTGGGAAGGTGGCTCAGTGGTAGAGTGCTTGCCTTGCAAGCCTGAGGCCCTGGGTTCGATTCCTCAGCACCACATAAGCAAAAAGAAAAAAGCCGGAAGTGGCGCTGTGGCTTAATTGGTAGAGCGCTAGCCTTGAGCTGAAGAGCTGAGGGACAGCGCCCAGGCCCAGAGTTCAGGCCCCACAACTGGACCCAAAAAAAAAAAGAAAAAAGAAAATTAGATCTCTCTCTCCTGCCCCCCCCCCCCAAAATACACAGAAGAGGTCAAAGATTAAAACCAAAGCCACAGTACTTGATTGAATACCTATTAAGTGTTAGTTATTAGAAATGAAAGGAAAAATGTTAACACTTGGGTCAGATGACCATTGTAGGATTTTCATAATATAGCCATGTAAAACTCTCCAGTTGGCTCCAATGTCCAGATCTCTTGAACACAACAAATAGCTATTTGTAGGATGGCCTCCCAGGTACATGGAATTCAATATGCTCCAAACTAAACTCACTTCTGTTGCTGCCTGGGCCTCGTGCCCCAACTTTCACTGTTTCTATACAGTGGTAAATGAGACTGCTCTAATCCAGTCTTTCATGCCAAATCCTGAGAGTTATCTTCAAGGTCTTCTTCCCATTTACACATCAATCCCCAGAGTGTCTCCATTACTATATCTACCAGCTTCATTCAAGCTCTAGTAATATCTTCTCCAGATTACTGATGCTTCCTGTTTTTCTTCTCTCCTTTACTCCTTCTTTCTCAGCTCAAACTTTCTCTGAATGCATCTTCTACTGTTAACGTGTTTATTTCTAACATGAAAAGTCCATTTTCTACCTTAAGACTCTTCTGAACACTAGATTCTTAAGACAAAAATTCCAAATCTCTCCACTTTCATCCTGCTATACTTCTACATACATCATTCTTCTCTTTTGTTTTAGTGCTAGGGACGAAACCCAGGGCCTCCTGTATGTTAGGCAAGCACTTCATTTTCTCTCCATTAATTCAAAACTATCTGCAGAACAGACTGATTTATTTTGCTGCCATGTTGCTGTAAATATTGTTCCTTCTAGCCGCAAGTAGATGGTTAGCTCAAGTGTTAGTTCTTTGGGGAGTTTTCTCCTGGTTGCCTTTCCTCCTCTCCTCTTTGTGCTCTTGTTTTTTGTTTTCCTCTTCCTTCTTTTTTGGCAGTACTTAGGTTTGAACTCATGGCCTCCCTCTTTCTAGACAATCGTTCTATCACTCGATCCTAGACTTTTTGTGATTTAATTATTTTCCAGCTAGGGTCTTGCCTGGGTCAGCCTCAGACTGTGATCCTCCTAATTATGATCTAAGTTGCTGGGACCACAAGCAGATGCCACCATGCCCCGCTTGTTAATTAAGATGAGGTCTCACTAGTTTTTTGCACAGGATTACCTTCAAGTACAGTCCT